GGTCGATGATGTGCTGAAGCTCTTGCGAAGTCATCAGGCGCTGTTGGAGGGGGCGGATTTACTTCGACCGAAGGATTGGGAATACAGGGGTGTTCATGAGGTCACCCAGTCAGTATGAGACCTTCAACTCTTTTTGAGGATTGGTTTTCCACTGAAGCTCTGTATTCAAAGGACTTCTTTCCAGCCATGCTGTGCGCGAATTGTGCGCGATCGCCATTGGAGTCTCTTGTGGCTCGGATTTTTGGGACAAGGATCGTGGCTGGGCGAAGGAACTTTTGGAGCGAAGGATTAGAAGCGATCCGCTTCTGGGCGGTTCTGGCTTGGTGAAAGGTGAAGGTGAAGAAGGATGACCTTAGGCCAGCGCCGCTCGGCGGTGGCCTCACAATGGCGCCAATATGGTGCCATATTAATTTGTTTAAATCCGGTGGGACTTATGAGGATTGTTCAGTGCAATGTGAGAATTCAAGGTGAAGTGAGAGAATTCGATGCCAAGTGTTCGTGCTTCCACGGTTTGGCTATGCCACAACAGCACGGTGCAAGCGTTTCACTGATGGGAAAGCTTGGATTGAAACGCATTTCAACCGGATTTGCACCGCAAGAAAGTATCGACTAAGGCGAAGGCTAAGAAGAACACCTACCCGGAGCTACCCCAGCAACTCCAAACACACAACCTAAAAAAGATAAACGTCTTTGTAATAGGGGAAAGTTGTCTTCCAGTCATCCCCCTTTCTTTTTCAGATGTTCGTTTATCACAGAATCTCAGTCGGAGTCCGGTTTCTGGTCGGAGTCCCTCCACCTGTTCAGGGACAGATTTTAACGATGTGCAGATCGTCACACTCCGTTTCAGCTCGGGAAGCTCGACGTGCTCGCCTTGCGTGGTGAAGCACACTGTGTGTTTGTTCGGCCTTCTATAGGGGCGAAGCAGAGCGAGCATCGCTTCCTCCGAGCGGACGGACTTCTAGCCACATCGAAGCTGAGCGATTCGCATGAGGTCTGTGCCCACCAACCCGGTGCGGCACGGCAGCGGAACACCACGGAACGGCCCCGGGACTCGCGAACGACCGCCAGTCAATCCGCGGTCCGACGACTCGCTACGAGCTCTTCGGTACACCCGACTTCTCCCGGGAACGGTGGGCCTCTCGGCTCGGGCGTCGGGCGGCTTCGTCACGCGGAGGCTGCCTGGACGGTGCCGCTCCTGGGTCCGGGTGGAGGGGTTGGAAGGGACCTGGATCGAGGTGGATGTGGATGTGGATGTGGATGGATGTGGTGGGACCTTCTCCCCTCAAAGGGTCACCTTAAGAGAGCACTCCAAAACAGGTCACGAAGGGCTCAGGTCCGATCAATCTTCGGGTCGGTTGGTCGCAGGATCGGAAGGATCGGAAGGCCCATGTGTTGGATGTTTCTCAATTGGCAGGCCCATTGGTTAAGGCCGAGGTTCCGTGGACGGTGCTTTGATGGTTTTCCCCTGTCCTTCCACCGGGTGCTGTGAAGAAAGGCCAACCTAAACGATCCACTGGGACTCGTAGGTGGATAGCCCTCAAGTTGCCCTCAATAGCTTGGAAATCACTTGATCTACTCTTGTTTCGGGGATGCGCCAATGAAAGACTAACGCATCGAAGAGTACGTTCCCCTTTTGAACCATATATTGATCGTGGAGAGATGTGTAGTGTGGAGATGGTTTTTGCTTAGTTTGTGCCCATCCCCAGGTTTTCGTTTACAATGGTTTCCTGGACCCATTCTTGTTCAACGCCCACCGCATGCGCCTCTCATCCTCATGCGGAAGACGTTCACTCCGCCCTGCCACTTTCCACCCTGAGTGATCTCATGGTAACGTCATCTCCGTGTTCTGAGGTGCCGGAGATGACGGTGGAAGCGGTACAAGTGCTGATGGCCTTGCAGAAGCGCTTGACGGCGGATGAGCAGCTCAACCTCGAGCAACTCAGGTTCCGGTCGCTCAACGCCCGCGGACCACGGATGGACTCAGACTCCATTGGAGAAACGGTGAGCGATGGACTCAAGCGATGGATCGAGTTCCGAAAAAAATCGATGGAGTTGTTACGTTGTTTGTTTGTGTGTGTGTTTTTTGGTTCAAATCCTCCTTTTCATGGCCAATTGATGGAGTTCAGGATACGCCAGTTCGTTTTCTGCTTCGCCAAATTCATCAAGGCATCAGTGCAAAAGAATTCTTCGATGTTCTTGGTATCTTTTGGTATCTCTTGGGCCTCGCAATAAGCCTCGATCCTGCTGCGACTTGGTTTCAGTTCAGGGTGAAATCACTTAACATGCACTGCACATCATTTCTCTTGACGAGATGTGTCTCTTGACGTGCATTGTGTGCAAGCATTCTTCCCCTTGTTGACCTGCAGTCTCTTGTTCATACACAGGGCATTCAAGGGCTATGGAAATACCTTGGGTCTGCCCTGTTACCAGGAACAGTCAGTAACCACTTATCACTATTTTCGAGAAAGGTCTTTACTAACCGTCATCATCCACTGAAACCTGGTCATTAAAAGATACCTGATTCATCCTGATTCTTAGATAGAGCGGGTGCTTACACCCTCACAAGTCCTCGATTTGCATGCCCTGTCTGCCCGAAATCGTCGTGCTTCGGACAGGAGGTTGGCTGCCATCGCCTCGGAGAGCTTGGTGTGGGAGCTCGTTGGTTGGCTGCCCATCGATGGGTGTGGTCGCCTCGTTGGGCCTTTCATTCAATGTGGATTCCCTTCATGTCAAACGTGGGGCGCTTGATACAGTTTTGCATCCCGTGAAGGTGTTTGGCAGCTGCTCAGTCAGGTGCTATACGGGTGCAAGTCTTATGCCCTTTCCCTCCTGCGGAGGTCCAACCGGTACCACCTCTCATTGTTCTTCCCGGTTGGACGCGGTGTTCAAGATCCGTCCCGAAACAGATGGTTCCTTCCGTTCTGGCTCGGTGTGTGGTGTCGCGGGAGTGCTTTAGCACGGTGGGGGGGGGGGTTCCTCAGATAGAAGATCACCGCATGCAACGAACAAAACTATATAGTAATGTGGGTGACTAATGAACTGTAACAGTCATTTACAAGGTCAACTACAGAACTCTATATAACAATTAACGGTTGCACCATGTACTATTAGTCCACAGCCAGGGGTGGCCGCAATCCGCGTGTGAGGGCTGGAGCGAAATGTAGCGGTTTTCCGGCTAGTAAAAGGAAGGCCTGTGGTCGAGATCGGGTGTGAACTAGCCCAACAACCCAAGTACTAGAAGATCTAGAAGTGTGCACAAAGAAGACCTGATTGCAGCGGGCTGTGGCTGAAAAGCCGCAAACGACGACCAGGTGGTTCGTCCCACTTTTCCACTGGGCTTCAGTGGGTTTGGATTGTGCTCTACTTTTAAGCTATATGCTACAGCCTTTGGGAGAGCCATTTTGCTCGAGCCACGACCGGGGCAAAGCTTTGGAAAGGACCTTCAAGAGCCAGGACCGCTGTGAAGGAACATCTGAGATGGATCGATTTGACCCCGCCTGGAGGGGTAACCTTCGCATCCAAGAAGGGCTGGATCGATTTGCATCGGACAAGAAAACAGATCCAGCAAAGACACCTCAACACCAAAAAGCCGTGAAGAGTCGCAGAAGCAATGATAACAGATGGTAACAGTGACAATGTTTAAATGATTAAGTGCGTTAAATATACAACTTTGTATATGCGTTACATTTTAGTTTCTGATAAATCTCAGCTTTAAAAAGCCAAGCACAACGTGTTTGTTTTTAATGTGTCATTTCTTAACTGTCCATCTTCTGATAACATATAGCCAGCTTCTTTGCTATGGCTATGGCTCTCATATTGTTTTTCTGAACTCCACACTCCCTGCAAAATATAGCTAGCTACAAAACAGTTGTCCATTATACAAATCTTGCATCGATTCCTTTAGCTGGTTCATTTTGCAACTGTCACAATCCCATATACTTGGTGTTGCAGTTTTTCCTGAATCTACTGTTACATTCATGTCCTTCACGTTTAAAGCATTCCGCCATTTATTAAACACGTGCTTTTCCTTTGTTAAGAACCTACCCATATCTTGCGACATATATTATTGTTGTCTTCTGTATGACCACAAATTCTAGAACATTATGTTTACACTCATATAGGTTAGCGCTCCTTATGTCAATAACTTTACCCACGCTAAGTTTAATATCATGTGTTCTTTTCCTGGAATATTGTTCAATCAGGTTTTTCTATGCTTTAATCCTAACAATATTTTGTCATATTTTGTCTAACAATATGTGGTCATTAACTTCTATTTCTCCAAACCCCTTTTTCCATGTTCCATTACAAACAGGTGATTTTCTACTTCCATGTTAGGTCTGCGGACTCCGGAACAACTAGATCTTCCTGCCACCTGTGACTCGGAAAGTCCAGAAAACGGTGTCCGTCTGAGGTGTCCAGCCTCCTCACTGGTGCTGGCGCCACTGCCCATGCCAGTGGCACGCTGTTGGCACTCGCCATACGGGTTGGCAGCTGAGAACGGCATGGATACTGGGGGTGAGAGTGCTGGTAGATCAGATGGGCATGGGTCAACAACAAACCCTCACCCTTAAATCACCCAAATCCTGGTAGGAACCTTCCTTCCCTTCTTCCAACCCTTTCTTCGACGCACGCCCAGGCGGCGCCGATGTGCGATTCGCATCGCATGGACCATTTTCAGATCTTCTTGGAGGCACGAGGTTTATGGGGCACGAGCAAGAAGCTACGAACGTAACGAAGGGCATCCCTACTAGTTACTAGGAGTAAGGACGCTAGTAGTAGCTCCTGGCCATACTATACAAGTAACAAGAAGCTACGAACGTAACAAAGGGACCAACTCGGTCGATTGGTCAACAGCCGTAGTGCTGTGCGGTCTGCCTTCGGTCGAAGGGGTTCTGAGTCCTGAGCAACTCGGTCCGCCGCGTTTGGCACGGCGGTCCGGCCTCGTGTGCGACACGAGCGCACAGGAACGAAAAACCGCGAGAAATGCGGCTTCAAACACTGGACAAACCATGTTTTTTTTTGGGGGGGTACGGAGTTATTTCCGTTCGCTGATCCCTTGTTGACCGAAATGGATCTGTGATTTGGCGTTCTCTTTAGACGAAAACCGTGGGAGAATAGGAAGTTCTTTTGGCCAACGATACCAAGGTTCCGTTGATTTCTGGGGTCGACCCTGTTTTAGAGTGCAGGTTGAAACAAGATCGGGATGGAAGAAGTAGATTGTTGGTTGAAAATGAGGACCTTCATCGCGATTCGAGAGGTCTATTCTATCCTAGGTACTCCAAATCCTTTGTAAATCTTTGAAACATTGACCCCCCGTACCTTTTGTTTTGTGCACATGTTGATTTCGTCCGGATCCGGATCTGACCCCCGGTGCTGCCCATTGCTTTCACGCACATCGGGTGAGACAACCACCACCCCGTTTGGGTCATCTAAAGAAGTTCTTACTGCGCGCTGGAACCCTGGCTTGGCTTCACCCAAGATCCTGGTCCTGTAGCCTAGACCCTGGACTTTGGCCTCAGGCATTTGGTTCTGATACGAACCCCTAGGGCCTATACAACAAGAACCCCTATTATCCTTGAAAAGATGAATGGTGTGGCTCCTTGCAGCAAGGGGTCACAGGAGTTGGGGTCATGTCCTTGATTCATTCTCTACATTTCGTCATCTCCATGCCGCTGCAGGTGCTGCAACACCGTAGTCCTGAGTTAGCCAAGGCAAAACACGGGGCGTGGCAGGGCATGGTCCGGGGCATGGCAAGACTGGACGGGTACTGAAAGACCAATGTGTCTAAGTTTGGTTCTTGTTGCTATCTGGTGTTGGTTGTATAACGTCATATACATATTATATGTTGAGCATCGTTTTGAGGGTGTGGGGGGTTCTCAGTTTGAAGGTTTAGTTGTCACATGGGTGGACGAATCAACTGTTCTAAGTCTTTGAAGGCTTTCAACGCAGCGGCAACAGGGGTTTGGCCAACCCAAGACACCGCACATCCTCTTAATGTATATCCCGCAACTTCTAGCATCCGAATTTGTGTGTCTTTTCTTAGAAAGATTTTTGTATAGGAGGACACTGCATGGAATGTATCCACTTTGATGGACATGAGTGTGGGTCCAAGAGTAAAGTACCTTCGACCTACAAGTAAGAACTCCTGTTGATCTTCCATTTTTGTCTCTGCTCGATTGACCCGCAGGCACAGGGCGCCGCGGCACAAGTGGCTACAGTCTTGGCACAGGCACGTTCGTGGAGAAGGTTCAGGATGTCGGGTGGTGTTGGTTTTGGAACCCCAAAAATTACGATAAGAATAGAGAGCGCATTGAGTAGAGCAATGCCTTGCGACTTCTTCATGGCCTGCCGTGGCCTGCCGTGGCCTGCAATTCTGAACTCCTTCCACCCGATAGAAAGGCGGACGAACAAGCGGACGAGGTCCGATTGTTCGGATGCGTCCGAAAGCACACGATTGGGTCGGAGGATTCCGGCGGATGCACCACGTCTTTGGCCAACGCTGGTGGTGAAACAAACCGAGGCGTCCACTTCGGAGGTTCTCCGGGTTTGGCAGGTCCGGTCTGACCTCCTTGGAGGGTTTTGGTGTTCAGACCGGACCAACCGCTCGGTGGCTCGTGTAACCTCGACAAGCGACGACGGACGAACGCCGCCAGCCAGCTCCGCGGCGCCTCTGCGAGCTGGGCATCGAGTTTCGACCTGACAACGACGGCCTTCAGTCACCATCCCTAGGGCTCCTGGCCCATCTCCTCAGGTTCGGTGGTTAGACCCCCCCTGCACCCACCCCAACCATCTTCTCAGGAGGTGGGCCAGGAGCCCTAGGACATGTAGACTGATAGTTCAGCCCCCCAGGCCGGCCCTGAAGAGGTAAACACTCCGGCGGGTTCTGTGCGACCTGTGTGTCCTGCGACCTTTGCCTATCCCAAGCTGGGGATTCGTCGTGCGGACGGGAGGACGAGGGAGGTAGAAGAGGTCTTACATGGTCTTAGAATCCCTACCCCCTTACATGGTCTTACATGGGAAAGGGTAGTGATGTCTTACAATCTATGTCTGGCGAGTTGCAAGAATCAAGAATTCCAGATTCGATCACACCCAAACTTCGATGGTGTTTTTGTACCGAGGCGAGGGCAGTCACACCGGCTTGGTTTCAGCCATCCTTCCCCACCTAACCCCGTCTCCACCATGGCATGGGCGATGTGAAGGATGTTGGAGCCATCATCCAACCGTTCCAAACCAACCCGTTCCCGTTGGGTTTTCGACAGTTACAGGTGTCATCCAAAGACATGTGAGTGGGCCAGAGGCACATCCAAAGGCGTCCGAACGCTTCTTGTTAGTAGCGATGGCCTCCAACCGAATAGCGATGGCCTCCAACCGAATAGCTTCGAATTCTATAGTGACTCCAACCTGATGATGTCAGGCGATTGCCGCGCTGGCCTCCTCCAAGACGGCCTGTCGTGCGTCCGGTGCAGCGGCCACGACGGGTGCACGGCTGGTGGCGGTGGCGTTCTTGTCGCCGGCCTTGCGAGAGAAAGACGACGCCATGAGGCCTGGAGAAGGGCGAGTGGGGCGGGGAGAGAGAGAGAGATGGCATGGAGTGAAGATTGGAAGGTGCTTAAAGGTGATATTGAAATACTTCATATGCTCGGCCAAGTCACAAGAAACTGAGGTGTTTTTGTCTTAGGGGAATAGGAATAGGAAGAGAGTGACTGGATCAATCGTGCATCGGATTCCCCCTATTTGGGGGTTGTGAAGCTTATCGAACCGTCAAAAACCATGACCAGCGCTTTTGCAATCCTCGGTTGGCCGGCTGAGTTTGTTCTTCACCTATGCTCCAACTCAATCTCATCACAACCATTATCTCCCTTGGAACACCTTCCCATCAACAAAACTTTGGAATATCTCATTCAGACTTCTGAAGTGACGATGCCCAGGCCTATGATCGGAGCCTTTGAGTGATAAGAAACATCACGATCACATACAAAGACTCCGATCATTAGGAATCGAGATATTTTCACGGTCTAAGATCACATGAGGCTTTGAGATCCGGAATGTCCTGCATGTCCTGCATGTCCTGCGGAAAATGTGAGGTGCTTTGTGGAGGACTTGGCGCATCACATCACAAAAGCTTCCTTGCAGGCTCTTCGTGCGTGGGATCGTCAGGGGTCGTTATCGTCAGGTGCGGCAGGTGCGGCAGGAGTTCTTTTTGGTGGTATTCTGAACATCACTCAGAAAGAATGAGACGTATTTTAAAAAGAATACCCCATAATAAAAAGAGTCCGGTATTCCATAAGAAAGAATTATTGGTATGTTTCTCTGTGCTTTTGGAAGGAAGACTGGTCGCAGACCTTCCCTCGATCAGACCTTCCGCCGGACTCGGACGGAAGTTGCGGGATTCCGTCCACGACTTCCCATGTGTCTCACGGTGCGTGGGATGTTGAAACGGGTGACGCGCGTGTCGACCACTGGCGGCGACGGTCCGTCCGGTCGGATCGGAGGATCGTCCGAAGGCGCGAGACGAGCGGGAAAGAGGGGCGGGCGGGCCGAGGGTTCCCAGTTTGACCTGGGCCGAGGGTTCCCAGTTTGGGGTAGGTTTATAGGGTCCAAATACCTTCTGAGGAGGTACTTGGAGGGGCATGGAACCTGAAAAGCACTGGGTTGTAGAGGTTTTCATCGTCTTTCAAGGTCCATGCCATCCGTGATGGGTCATGTAAGTCATGGCAAGCGGTGGATCCCCAACCTCGCTCGCTCGCCGGTTCAAGCGAGGCAACGGCAGTCCTTTTTGGGGCGAGGGCGACCGCAGCGAAGGAAGAGTCGACCACGACTTGAGAGGGTGCCAAAACTACTGGCAATGGCCTCCAATCAAAGAGCAATGGCCTCCAGTCAAAATGCAAACAGATAAGACTTGAGAACACATATTTGTTTGGTGCTTGATGTGACTGAAGGAGGAACAGTCATGGATAGTCCTAGTGCTGCTTTGGCCTGGTTCCGTTGACTACCTCAATCTCTTTTCCGATCAGACGGCCGAACTGATGACCTGTTGTACATCTGGGGTAGAAAGCTGCAGGCCAAGATGATCCCCAAAAGGCGCAGAGTCATAAAAATTCAACCAAAAGAGATGCACTGTTCACTGTCCTTTGACCTGAGGCTCCCCACGATCTTTGTGTTGAACAAGTCTATCAAGATTGGATGAAGCGATGAAACCAAATTGAGTTGGAATTTCTTTCACATGAGCAAAGAAGCTGAGAACCCTCCCACAGTGACTGAATGGAAGCACTGATCAACACCTTCTTTCTCGACTATTTGGACAATCACAGAGCACTTGAGACACACGAGCACTTGGAATCCATTCCCGCAGCATCGAGTCCCATGAAGAACTGTCACTTGTTCCGCCCTCCTTTGCGCACGCGCGCACGCTGAAGCAAAGTGAAAAAAGAAAACAAGGGTCCCCGAACTGGAACCGTAGCAGCGTTCAGCTTCAGTGATCTCTGATTGTTCCGTGATCTGGCCTGGAAACAAGGTAGCTGTAGCATCTTCGCCCCCAAAGTCCGATGTCTGGAAAAAAAGACACCCTCCTCCAGTGCTCAGGGCAGGACCTTCCCTCCGACCCGCGGCCGCGACCTCCGATGGATGGCGACCTCGAGCTCCGCACCGCTCCGCCCGGGACCGCGCGCAGTCCCGCGCTGGGCAGCGGGGACGACGGCGGCGAGGGCACGGATGAGGAGTCGGAGAGCAGCTGTTCTGGGAGCTCCAGCGCTGCGGAGGAGAGCTGGAGAGAGATGGGGGGATGAGGGAGAGCTCCTATAAGATCTATAAGGATATCCATGGGACATCAGAGGACATCAAAAAGGATTCATGTAGATCGACCCTCAGTTCAATCACATCAACAGGTGGTTGGCAACTCTTCCAGCCCATGGATTGGTTTGAGAGAGTAGCCTGGACTCATTGGAGGAGAGCCGTGTAGCTGGACCGGTCCGGCAGAGACCCGGTCGGGCCGGAAGAAAGACGGAGCGACATACGGACCGTGGAGCATCCTGTCGGAACGGGTTATACAGGGTGGAGCATTTGTTCATGTCGGGCAACCAGCTAGGGTATGTGTTAGTGTCATGAATGACCCACGACCGTGCCACGACCATATGATTTTAACATGATTTTACTTTGGTCGAACTGCATGGAGTAATTCATGCGGTCCTGCCGCAAATGTTTCTGTCTTTACAATCTGTATGGCCTGGGCATCGGGGGAAGCAAGGGCACTCAGCTTCACATTGTCCTTCCAAACTGGCTGCACCTCAACAATTCTCTCCTGGAACGTCAATTGGAGCCCGGTCGCTTTGCTTTGGAGCTTTGCCGAAGACAGGTGTGCCAAAAGGAACCTGGGGAACTTTGGCTCTTTTCCACATTCGGACTTTAGAAGTTTGTCTCTACTGATTTCAGCACCATTTGTTTGGCACGTGTTTTCAGCAAGGAGTCACATCACCCCTGACTTCTGGTGCTTATCTCATGAAAGCCCCATCCTCCTCCTCGTACCCATTGTCTCATGAAATCATCATGGTCCATGTAAAATAGGATGGGATGGCCCCAAAGACGAGTTCGGATGGCCATCCGAATCGCCAACAGCTGCTTTTCGAAACCTTCACCGTGTGAAAAACCACATGGACTCGTCGTTTGCGGAGTTCGTAGCAACAGAGGCCTTTTCAGATTCCGACTGTTCGTTCGACTTGACTGTCCCATTTAAGGACTCCAGGTGAGTTAGGTTCCATCCACCATCCACCATCCACCATAGGTGGTGGTTTCATCCACCTGAACGACTCCTATTTGCGGTCAGGTTCCATCCACCATCCACCTCTCTTGGGCTCCTGTGCTCAGGAGGTGAAGGAGGCGGACCTCGCAGCACAGACCATGGGCAGTGACTTCGCACTGCAGCGGGTTCCCAAGCACGCGCGCTATGGTGCCCCAGCGTTGAGCAAGTCGACCAAGCGCTGGGGTTGGGGGAAGGTCACCTGCAAGATGAACTGCTAGAACTGCTTGGCTTAGCATTCTTAGGAGTCTCGTCCTCAACCAGATGACATGGGATGGTGTAGGAAAGTGACTTCACTCCTTTCCTATCCAGGAAAACCAGTGTTCCCAACCGTGGCTTGGGTTAAAGCATTGTGGATGACTGTGACAAATTCCACAGATATTGCCATAAAGCAACTAGTATACAATAGTCAATAGTCATCAATAGGCAACGGGTATTTCCGCCAGGTATCAGTAAGCCGTGGTGCTTGGAACAGTTTCTCACATTCCGCCCCCAGATCTCTGACGACGACGAGACTTAGTGATGATACTCATTGTGTAAGAAGGCGGTCAAGTGGCCTCCAAACTGATAGCAATGGCCTCCAACCTAAGAGTCATGGGTACATCCTCGACATGTCCGACATGTTGCGCTGAACAGAGGAATGCACTGGCCAGTTCTGTTTGGTAATTGTGCCTTCCCTCATGGATGTTTCAGAATTTTGCCCAAATGACAAGGCCTCAAAACACATTCTCCCAAAAGAGCATGCAGAAAGATGAGTCTCTGACAGGGATGTGAGTTACTCAGGTCTGAACGGGGAAACGAAACGATGTGGCCCGAAGTAGGGAATGACAGAAGGGAATGAATTGATGATGGTGGTGGTGGTGGTGGTGACAATCACGACGACGATCACATTGGTGCTAATGCCAAGAAAAAGTAGATGTGATGATCTGAAGATGTGGCTGCCACATGTTTTGACCCACGGCCATATACCTGTGGGGCATTCTTGGATAGTTCCTCCAGTTTTGTCCTCCACAAATCGTGGGGGAGGGTGAACCACCTCCCTCCCCCCCCCCGGGGGCTTGGTTGGTTGGTGGAGAAGGTGTTTTGCTTCAGGGGGTTCACCTTAAAATGTGATTTCGTGGCAGGCGCGGGTGTTGGAGATGAAGTGGACCACAGCCACGTAAAACAAGTGCATGTTGAATGCAAAGAAAACAAAGAGACTGCGCCGGCCGGACTATTGCAACACGTTGCTTGGCTTGTTGCTTCGTCGCTTGTTTTGGTTCATGCTCTTGTTGGTTGTTTGTTGTGTCTTTGGCTGAATGCGGTTGTGGTTGTTGTCGTTGCTGTTGGTCTTTGTTGATTGGTGCCTGTTGGTTGGTTTGTGGGTTGCTTGGCCGAGCGACCGAGTATGGTGGGTTGTTTTGCCGCAAGGGGTGCACTGTAAAATGTGATTTCGTGGCAGGCGCGGGTGTTGGAGATGAAGTGCAGATTTCGTGGTGCGGGGGGGGGGGGGGGACCCCGGGGGGCTGCCGGGGGGGGGGGGGGGGGATCGGGGGGCTCGCCGGAGGGGGGGGGGGGGGGGACCCTGGGGCGAAAACACAGCCCCCCCCCCCCTGGGACTGTTTGGGACGGCTCTCCATTCTTGTGGGACACTCTTGTAAGACACCTGACATTTGCACGACACTTGTGACGACACTCTTGTGGGACACTATGGGGCACTCTTGTATAGGACACTCATGATGTAGGACATTCTTACCCTGCCGGGATGCCACCACTCATCCCCATTTGACCAGCGACACTCAGCATGACAACACATGCGCGTTAGTTTGCCTTCTTCTGGCCAGCCAGCCATGGCATCACACGGGCCATTTGGCAGCGAAGCCGAAGAGCTTAAGTTCAAGGTGCAGACCCAGGAGCCCGAGCCATTCACCGCCACCGAAGCACCGTCGCACGTTCAGGGGCTGACTGCCATAGGTGATACCACCAACATCGAGGGGTGAGTTTAAAAAGACAGCGCAGTCGTCCGAGGGAGGGTTCATTGCAGACTTTCAAGCGCTTTTTCCTTCTCCCTTCTTCAACGCCCGTTCCCCTGAGAGCCCCGTTCAGTCAATGCTCAACCGGCGGTTGAGAAGACAGCGACTTCACCGTCTACACCGTCGGAGACCCCGTGTGTCGCTGTCTCGTCGGGAAAGAACTTTGTTTAAATATTTTCTTTAACACGAGAAAAACACTTAAAGGAATACAACCTTATATATATAACAAATTAAGATAAGATGACCTGCTATATGTATGTAGATGGAAATAAACAAGTGATGGACGAAGACATCTTCGATCAAATGGTTGAGGCACTACATCAATTGTAACAATCCCCCAATCCCAGAGAAACCGAACAGATACAGACCGGACGGAACCTACGACAACTCACCCTTAGACCCCGATTACTTCAAGAAATACTATCAACGGAACCTCAAAAAGCCCTTCAGGTGTCCCGACTGCGGACGCACGCTTACGAGCAAATCCAACTATGCCAAGCCAGCAGGCTCCAAGTCCCAAGTTACAAAGGCATCGTGAGTGGAGAAGGTCGTTCGGCACCAAAGTCATTAAAAACCTAAACCCTCAAAGTTTGCTCCGCTATCACATGTTGGCACAACCATGACAATGTTGGACAGGACAGTGATTGCACCTAGGGTCTCTTCAAAAGGTCGTCACAAAGTTCGTTTTGTGATCGAGCCACCACTCACAGCGTGCAATACTACAAACAAACACGTTTGTTCACATGCTGTGAGAACAACATGGCCTGCTTTGAGTGAAACCACATGCGTTTCCACCGTTTACACGATTAAGAGTTTCCTTTCTGGAGAAAGGTGTCTTGTGTTCTTTTTTAAAGAGTGTGTGATTTTCCTCTTTCAGGATAGTTGCGCGCGCAGGGTTTCAAGAAAAACCGTTTGCAGAGCGTGTGTGTGTGTGTGTGTGCGTGTTTTTGTTTGCATGTCGCAGGCTTCATGACGCTCGCTCGAACGCCCGACCTTCGCCGTTCATGGCTTCAACGATTGCCAGTTTATCTAGTCCAAAGGAAGTTTAGTGTATGAAACTTCCGTGTTGCGGACATTCAAGAAGTGATCACACACCACTCATCACACCACTTTTCATACACCACTCATCATACACCACTCATCAACACACCACTCATCAATA